ACAATAAAATTTGCACTAGGGCCCCACAAAGCCTAGTTGCGGCACTGTGTAAAATATATTGTCGGGTAAATGTAGTGTCGGGTAAAAGTATTGTCGGGCAAATGGTGTCTGACAATTGAAGTGTCGGGCATTCGAGTGTCGGGCAAACATATCAGACCCATTTAAATACTATTACATTAGTATAGTAGGATAATAATTCTAACTGTATCTATATATGTCGAATCACCTGGACTAAAATTCATTTTTTTTTTTATGTATTGTGCGTAAGTAGATTCTAGAATTAAATGAAATAATAGCTGCTTTTACCCTGGTTGAATAATTATTACTTTGAGAAAAATTAATTCTTTTTCCGCCAACGTATTTATTGATAATTGAGTTAAATTATCAAGATCTTCGATTAAACTAGAGCTATTATTTACTAAGCGAGACATAATTTTGTCTATTTCTAGTAAAATACTACATCTTAATGCTTCCGGTATCCTGTTGGATTTCACCTATTTTTGACCCTTTACAAAAAAAAGAATTACATTCTTGGTGTTGTCTAAATCTATGATAGGGTGCATTCTTTAAATGTTTTTTAAGGTCTGTGTTGCGTCAGTGAGCCTCTCTAACACCTATCGAGGTTGTCAATGATCACACGGTCCTCCGGGACCTCGAAAGTGATGGGGGCTTATGTTGTAATTTGTTAAGTATTATTATTATAAATAACAATATAAACATGTTTTATAAACCTTTATTGTTGACAGCATAAATCGTAGTGATCGTACATTGTAATTTTACATAATAATAATAATCGATGGACAGTCCCCACCGATCGTAATATGATACTGCTGATTTTATATAAATATTAAATGTAATATAAATGCTGAATATGCAACACCTCTTTCCTTAAAAAATTATAAAAAAAAAAAAAAAATATATAGGCATATAATATTTTGACATTTTGTATGTTACTTAATACTTACTAGCTATGTTAGTATTTTTTTTTTTTTTTTTTTTTATATATCCAACTGATTTAATTACATTAGTCATAATCACTTGGAGAGTATCGCTGAGGCGGTTTTCTGGATCTAATTGGTCTGGGTGTTTTATTTATTATTGTAGGATTCGGATTTTGATTTACAACTCCTACTATTTCAGTATTTTCAGTACTTTCATTTATGTTTCTATCGGGTGTAAGTGAAATAGAAATATTCGCTGGTGTCATTGATTTATCAATGAGTAATTGATCGTTATGTCTTTTCCAAATAGTTCCATCATCGAGTTTTACATCATGCGTATTGCAACTAATGGATTTAATAATTTTATCTTTTTACTATTTATTGTTATTATTCTTATAATCTCTAGCTAAAACATAATCGCCTATATTAAATGATACGGTCCTATTACCACCATTCTTTATTTGTGATATTTGTCATTCGATAACCACTTCACTTGTATTCGGCATTAATGCGTCAAATTGTAAACGTGTTGATCGACCTAACATTAGCTGAGCTGGCATTTCTCGTGTTGTAGAGTGCGGTGTGTTACGATACATTAAAAGAAATTTATTTAATTGGGATTGTGCAGTCGAACAAACATTTTTTAACCCTAGATTACTAACCTTATTTATTTGCCTTTATTTCTAACCATTCGTCAATATGACGAATACTATAAATATTATTAACGTTTAACCATTTTTAATTGTTTTTTTTTTTCAATGAATCAAAAAAATAATTTATAAAAACACAATAATTAAACTTTTGGATAACTTTATTGTAAATAATATTAGTAAAAAAACATTTTTCCTCATTTTTAAAATGTAAAATCGTAAACATAAATTATAACTTTATAAAGGTTTAAAATAATTATATAAGTGTAGGTAATATACAGATTATTTAGCATTACAAATTGGACAAGTTACTATTTGATGTTCTCCACAAATATGTTTTTTACATGTTGCACATTGAGTTTTTGTCATTCGCCTTTTTTTATAGTTACAAAAAGTGCAAATTTTTCTTTTGTTGATTGATGTTTCCTCTTCTGTTTCTTGAGATTGTAGTTGAACTGTGTCTTTTATTCCTAAACTATCTTCAATATGTTTCTTCAAATTTGTCGGCAATGTGGGAATAGAAAGTCTTGATCTCATCCAATCTTCACATAGTTGTTCTTGTAAACGTATCATGAATTGAAAACGAGACAAGGGTTTCGAGCCTGAAGTATTATTTTTGCAAAAATTATGTAAATAAATAACATATGCATTAATTGAAGCTATATTAATCATGTTATAGAAAATACATAATGGCCAACGTTGTGTTTTTCTGCCAGCGTTCATATTCTGACACATTTGATCAAAGCTATCGACACCACCTTTTGTTTCATTATAGTTCATAATTATAATTGGTTTTTTATTTGTTTCATCTATTGTGTTATCATCATGAAGTGAAGAAATTAAAGTTACAAGTTTGTCTGGTTTTGCTTTGAATGACACAGCTACCAAATTATTGGAAAATAAAAATAACGATGAATATGCTTTTCGATTGATATATTTTAGATCGATGAATTCATTTGGAAATTCTCGTTTATTTCGTTTTATTGTTCCAACAACAGTAAGTTTGTAATCTGCAAGTAATTTTTGTGTCAATGGAACACTAGTAAACCAATTATCCATGGTAATATTTCGGTTGGATCCTTTTACTGATGAAATTAAACGTTCAACAAAGTAATGAGCAGCAGGTTCATTAGATGGAACAGTTCCCTTACCACAATACGGCAATGCGCTTATCATATACTTGGTCGCATTGTCACACATCATTATTATTTTTACACCATACTTGTTTGGTTTAGATGGAATGTACATTTTAAATGGACATCGGCCTCTAAAACCAACCAACTGTTCATCAATAGTTAGGTATGAACTTGGCTTATATAAAGTTTCACAATTTTTAATAAGAATTTCCCAAACTTCCGAAATTGGCGCAAATTTAGTTATAAGTCTTCTATTTTCTCTAGTATTTTTTTGAATCAAATCTTAAACAACTTACTAAAAAATTAAATCTGGCAAGTGACATTGTAGAACGGTATCTATAGCCACAAAGTGAGATGTCAAACAAATGATTTGCCGACAAGTGGTTATTTTTCATTGCAGCAGATGAGATTAAAATACCCAATAAGCCTTTTAATTCATTTAAATTAATATTTTGTAAAGTACTTTTTTTTTGATTATTCTGTGTATAGTTTTGTTTTTGACGAAAAATTTCTTCATTTGTATGATTAATTATTTTATTCAAAATATCAGACGAGAAAAATAATAAAAAACACTCTAGTGGCTCTGATGCATAAATAGCATTTTTTGTTGGCCCAGGTCTAATATGAACTATGTTTTTAGTGGCGGTCTTAGAAGTAGATGGAAGCAAATAAGGTTTACTTTTCCATGTAAATCCATTTTTTCCTACAACATTATCTGTATCAAAACAAATTAATGACTCACGTGGTAGTATGTTCTGACGTGTTTCGATGGTTGGAATTTCATTAACATTCGGCTTATTTACTTTAGACCTCTTTTTCGTTTTCTCAACAGAATTTTCAATTACTAAAATGGCTTCTTCTAAATTTGCTTCTTCGATTGGATTTGGGTCATAGTCGGGGTCAGCATCACTGTCGTCTTCACAATCTTCTACTATATCTTCATTTTCACTATCTTGTTCTTCCAGTTCTTCCAGTGCCTTTAGTACATCATTCTCATCCATTATTTCACGTGCCATCTAGAATATTTATAATAAATCCATTTATTTCAATTTTACAAAAGAACACCGTCGTTTATAACGATACGTCACATGAACGAACAAAAAATAACATATTTTGATAACGATTCGTCAAATAAACGAATGCAAATATACTGCAATTACTTACCATTCGTCGATTCGGCGAAGTAATTCTTACACAATCAACGGCTGAACAGTCACTAGTCATGCTAGAACGCTAAACGTTATCGGGATAGATATAGGACATAATATATGAGAGATACAAGGAGGGTTTAATGATATTAGATAAAATGCCCTAAAAATAGCAACAATAAAATATCAGTGTTCGTCACATTGACGTATGGTTAGCGATCTAGGGTTAAAGAAATTTTTTATTGTTTTGACTGCTGATTCCGCACAACCGTTTGATTCTGGGTGAAATGGTGTTCCTGTCATGTGTCTTATGCCTAGATTTTTGCAAAATACTTGAAATTCAAACCCTGCGAAACATTTTGCGCCGTCTGATGTAATTGTTTTTGGAATGCCAAATCGTGCTATAGTTTCTGAAAATTTTTGAATAACAATGTGCGCTGTCATAGAATTTACTTGAAATACTTCCAACCATTTTGTGGTTGCGTCAACAATGATAAAAAAAAATATTTATTTTGAAATGGTCCAAGAAAATCACAATGTACTCTAGTCCACGGTTTTTCTGGCCATTTCCACGGTGATATAATAGATTTTGGTGGATTTTGTCTAACATTAAGACAATTGTCGCAATTTTGCGTGATATTTTCGATTTGTTTATCCATTCCTGGCCACCAAAAGTATGATCTCGCTAAACTTTTCATACTGGAAGAACCCATATGACATGAATGAAGTTCGCTAAGTATATTATTTCGAAATTTAGCTGGTATAATAACACGGTAACCCCACAATAGGCATCCCTGTTCCACTGAAATTTGAGTTTTTCGTAAATTATACGACTTAAGTTCTAAAATGTTAGAAAAATCACTATTCCATTCTCCTGTTTTGACTGCATTTAATACTTTGGCGAGAATCGTGTCTCTGCTTGTTTCAATTTTTATTTTAGACCAGTCTAATGTGAAAGGTGATTTTTCGTGAATAAAATTGAGACTAATACATTCTTCATTATGATTTTCGATTTTTGATTTTGAACTTTTCATTCGTGATAAGAAATCGGCTGTATTATCTTCGGATTTCACATATTTTATTTCGAAATCAAATGATGATAAAACATAGGCCCACTGTTGTAACCGATTAGCTGCGTAAATTGGGATACCTTTCTTATCACCAAAAATATGTATTAACGGTTTATGGTCGGTTTCTAATAGAAAATGTCTACCATATAAATAGTCATAAAATTTCGTAACCCCGTATATGATTGCCAAGGCTTCTTTTTCAATTTGTGGAAATTTACACTCAGAATTAGATAGAACCCTTGATGCGTAGGCTATAGGTTTTTCTGTACGATCTGGGTGTACATGTGAAAGTACTGCACCTAGTGCATAGGATGATGAGTCTACTACGAGTTTAACTGGAATATTATGATCATAATGTGCTAATACGGGTTTCGAGATTAAAATTTGTTTAACTTTGTTGAATGCTAGGTCACATTCTGATGTCCAATTCCATTCAGTGCCGTTACGTGAAAGCATGTACAATGGTTTTAAAATATTAGCAGCGTTTGGAATAAATTTTATATAGTACGTAACTAAACCTAAAAATGATTTTAGCAATGTTTTATTTTCTGGGACCATGGCGTTTTTAATAACATCTGTGTGTTTTGTTAGTGTGTGTAAACCATTTTCATCTAACCTGTGACCTAAATATTCAATTGACTTTTGTATAAATTTGCATTTATTCAACTTCACTCTTAAACCAACATTTGACAATACATTTAGTAATTTTTCTAAACGAGAGTTGTGTTCTGTGATAGTGGAACCTGCAACAATAATGTCATCTTGGAATATACCAATGCCCTCAAGACCCGCTGTGGAAGTTTCCATAGCTTTTTGGAACTCCCCAGCCGACGATTTTATTACAAAAGGGTTACGGGTATAGTTAAATAAACCTTTATGTGTATTAATAGTGGTATATTTGCGATCAGATTCTTTAATAACCATTTGTTGATATGTGTCTTTTAAGTCTATTTTCGAAAAATATCTTGAACCACTAACATTTGCATATAAATGTTCTATTTTTGGAAGAGGGTATTCAGTCCCTTCTAATACCGGATTTATTGTTATTTTAAAATCACCACAAATTCTAACCGTGCCATCTGGTTTCAATATTGGTACTATTGAAGTTGCCCATTCACTATAGTCGATAGGAACTAAAATATTGCTTTTAATTAAACGATCAATTTCGGTTTCAACTTTTTCTTTTAATGCTAAAGGGATAGACCTAGGTTTGCAAAATGTAGGTACCGCCCCAGCTTTGATATTTAATGAAATTTCGTATTTGTTAAAAGTACCTATTTCATCTTTAAAAACGTTGTTATATTTTTTTATAATATTATCTACACTTACGTCATTTTCCATATTGAACAAGGTATAACATTTTATGTTTTATATCGATTCGGCCTATTAATGGAGGACCACCATTGTCGATTACATAAAGACACATCGTAAATTTTTTGTTTTGATATACCGAGTCGACAAATATTTTTCCTATCGGTTTAATGTCGTTGCCGACGTAATCAGATAGCGAAATGTCATTATCTTTTAATTCGATATGACTAAACAGTTGACTATATAATCTTTTTGAAATTACGCTGTGTTGTGAACCGCTATCAATTTCGAAGCTTACATTGTTTTTTTCTACAATTAAATTTACTGTAAACGGTTTCACAGCTTTGTTTTGAGAGTTTTGATCAATTATAGAAAAAAAAGTATTTGAAAGATCATAATTAACTGTTTCGTCATCATCATCGTTATCATATAAAAATTTATTTTGTGTTTTGTTATTTTTCATTTCCTTCTTACCTTTTTTACATACAGTAGACAAATGACCCTTTTCACCGCAATTGTTGCATTTGTAGTCCTTGTATCTGCAGTCTTTTTGAAAATGATTGGAACGGCCACAAATCTCACATTTGATTTTTGATTCTTTGTGAGTGTTGAAACCCTGCTTGGCTCGATTATGTCCATTTTTTTTTCTTTTGATACTTCAAGTCTGCGTATTCTTCTTCTAACAGACGATCTTGAATTGGTCCTGAACCCATACCGACAACGAATATGTCTCGAATAACCGTTGATAGTTCTGACGAAAAACCACATTTTGAAGCAAGATTTTTGACACGTGCACCCCATTGGCACACTGATTCATCCTGTCTTTGTTTAGCTTGATAAAATGTATACCTACCCGCAAAGTACGATTTTATTGATTTGAAATATTTGTTCAAACTTTTTATTAGAGTGTCATACTCAACATCGTTGGGCGTGCTAGGAACACATAGACTAAAAAGTACTTTGTGAATTTCTTCACTAACGAATGATAATAATATTGCTCTTTTTGAATATTATTTTCGATTGCATTTGCCAAAAAAAAATTTGTCAATTTTGATTCAAAAATTGTAATATCCATACCTGTTTCAAAGGTTCCAGGTGACCCTATAACTTGATTGAAGTTCACAATGGATTCTGTCTTAGGAGTCGCCATTTTGTATTAGTATGAATACAACACTTGAAATTTTTAATACACTAGTGATTACGATTAAATTAATATTTTCCTCGTCGCCAATTTGTTAATTATTATTATTATAAATAACAATATAAATATGTTTTATAAACCTTTATTGTTGACAGCATAAATCGTAGTGATCGTACATTGTAATTTTACATAATAATAATAATCGATGGACAGTCCCCACCGATCGTAATATGATACTGCTGATTTTATATAAATATTAAATGTAATATAAATGCTGAATATGCAACATAACTAATTAATTAAATTATCAAACAATAATATTTATACAAAATATATGTATTACGAAATAATATAAGGTGAGTACCATTAACAACATGTATATATATGTTTATGGTGGGGATGGGGAGCACCACCCTGAAGAGAACTGACTTCGATGACGATCTTCAATGATGGGAAGCTGACCTGCTTTTCCCTCTTGAGCTGTGGAAAACTCCGGAGCTGGAACCACGTGGATGTTGGAGAGCGCCGAACTACTGTACACGCGGATACGGATCACGCACACACGTATACGCGTTATTGAAGAGCGGAGCACGAGCAAACGGTGAAATCGGAGCGGATAATCACCTTAATATATTATAAAAGCCAATTGACAAAGAAGCTATATGCAAAGTATGAGCAAATTGCAAAATCACATGAGCACGTGAAATAACGGGCGACGGAGCAGAACACAAACAAAGAGCCGTTGGCGGCGGCGTCAGCATCATTACCCGGACCAGGGCGGCGGTCGTGGATCATATGTCCAAGATCCAGGGCAACGTAAAGTGGGTACAATGGACAAAAGGGTCGAACAGTCTGCGAATAATTTTTTTAACGATAGTAAGTTTAATTTTAAAAACACGGCTACACAAATTGAATTACCTGTAAAAACCTGCAATTTTCTGAATCTTTGATTTATTCAATATGTTTTTGTGATAAGTAATTGCTTTAGTTACATCAGATCTGAATTTTAAAATATTAATCACTACAAACTTTCTGATAGTTACTGGATACTCAGTTTTTGTTGCGACCATTTTAAGTTTAGTAATGTAATTGCGTAACAAGGGGTTTCGACATTCGATTTTCTGTATCATATGGTAGGCCATATGGTAAATCCTCATTTAGTTGTTTTACGACACTACTGTTTCCATCGCCTAAAAATAAAATTTAAAAATATTATTTAAAATTTTACTCTGCTATACACTAAATATTATCTTCTCCCCTCCTAAACACACAAGTACTAAAAATTAATTTTATAAAAGCACAAACATCATTGGAAAACCAATACATTAATTATTACTCAGCTTAGAAAAATATTTTTAATTAATTATAACGTAAGTTATTATAGTATAATATATAAATATATATAGATATGTTACAGAAAATGTGGAATACCAGTCAATGTGGTCCTTGCCGGGCAATATGAACACGACTTTTTTCTAAGCAACTAATATTATTTTTTATTTTTATTATAAATTATAATTTATTGTAATAGACAATAGTTAATACAGGTCCTTTTTAACACCAACGAAAATAATGAAATGATTCGTGAAGTAGAAAAAATAATAAGAATAAAATGATAATATTTGTTAATTTTCGTTGTTATTCCATCAAAATATTCAAAATATTATGATATATAAATCAAATTAATAATCAGTTTAAAAAAAAATCAATACTATAAATTAATATAAATTATAATTTATAATAAAAATAAAAAAATAATATTAGATCCTTAAAAAAAATCGTGTTCACATTGCCCATTAAATAAATTCTTATAGGTGCAGTTTACTTACCACCCGTGTCCACGCTCCCAGATTTTGAAGCCCATACCAGCTCTATCGAACACTTAATATCATCTACCAACCCTACTTCTATTCTTCTCTGTGGTGACTATAATCTACCTCTTATTAAATGGTCTAAAAGCAACCAAGGTCTTTTCGCATCTGGTACCATGTCTAACACTTCTACTCATCTTGTCGATTCTTTCTCGTACTATAATTTTTACCAGCACAATCAGGTGTCTAATGCCCGTGGTTGCCTTCTTGACCTTATCTTTTCTAGTTTTGACACAACTACTGTCCAACTAGCCAACACTCCAATCGTTTCTCCGGATTCTTACCACCTACCTTTGTTTGTATCTTTTCCATTTCCATCTCCGATAACTGCTCAAGACGCACATAAATACCGTGATTATAAATCGGCTGATTATAAATCCATGCTCCGTTATCTAGGATCGTTTGATTGGGAAAATACTTTTTTGCTTTATTCAGTTGATGATTCTGCTGCTGCTTTAACGATGCACTTCTAAGCTCTATAAATAAGTTTGTTCCCACTTAAGTTTTTTCACCTTCTAAATTTCCTAAATGGACATCCACCATTCTCAAAAACCTTATAATAACAAAGAAGAAAGCCTATGCAGTTTATAAGCGAACCAAGTTGATATCTGATTATCTCGTTTTCTCTGAATATAGAGCAAAATGTAAACGCCAGTCAAAAGTTGATTACTCTACTCATATTAGGCATACCGAAGAGACTCTATCATCTTCCCCCTCCAAATTCTGGAAATTTGTAAATAATCTAAAACAGAAACCTCCAATTCCGTCATCACTCCATCTCGGTAATATTGCCTCAAATACTCCAACTGAATCAGCTAATCTGTTTTCAACTCATTTCTCCTTGACGTTCAACTCCTCGGCTTACCAACTTTCACCATTTACTGGCTCATCTGATTACTTATCCTATGAACTTCCTTCCGATATAACGTTTACTGTCGACGATGTTTTTTCTGCTCTTAAATCGTTAAAAAATACTTACTCTAATGGCCCGGATGACATATCCGCTCAATGCTTGTACAGTTGTCGTTTTTTCTATTGCTTATCCAATTTATTTACTTCAGGCGTTCATTAGATTTAGGGATATTTCCTAAGGTTTGGAAAATATCCTCTATATCACCTGTTCTGAAATCTGGTGACGCTTCTGATATCCAAAACTACAGACCAATTTCTATAATACCACATATTGGTAAATTATTTGAATCGATTGTATACTCCAGAATAAAGCGTAGTCTTAATCATCTTATTATAAGTGAGCAGCATGGTTTTAGATCACATAAATCAACCGTAACAAATGGTGTTGCTTTCTCTTCTTATTTATCAGAAGTTATCGAACACAGAGGTCAGGTAGATGTAATCTTTACAGATTTTAATAAAGCATTTGACACAGTGGACCACGATTGCCTTATAATGATGCTCAAGTCTTTAGGCATTGGGAATCCCCTACTATCTTGGTTGCACTCTTACATTACAGGTAGAAAACAATTCGTAAAAATCAAAAATGCTCTTTCGGAGTTAGCTGTGATACCATCTGGAGTCCCTCAAGGAGGCCACCTTAGTCCTCTTCTATTTATTCTGTTTGTAAACTCGATAACCAAATGGATCACTAAGGCTAAACTCCTTCTTTTTGCTGATGACATAAAAAATATTCCTTAAAATAGACAATCTTAATCAATGTCATATCCTACAGTCAGAATTAGATATTTTTGCAAGTTGGGCGTACTCTATTGGTCTTAGCCTTAATAGCGTGTCCAGAAAGTAAGTGTACTGAGGCTCTCACGGCCATAGGGAATATTTTTTTACTATGTTAGCTACACTGCCGTATAGCGTTACTCCTAACCTTTAAAACAAGACCAGAACGAGTTCAGTACGTTGTAAACTGTAGTCTCACGAATTTTTCTTGTTAAACATGTCGATCGAGTCTGCCGCCAAGTGCGAAATCCGCGCCGTTATCCGTTACTTTGTTGCGAAGGAAAAATCTCCACATGAGATTTTTAATGAGGTACGAACCGTT